CGAAAAAAGTAAAAAAGTCATAGAATAGCATGTCGAAAAAAGTAAAAAAGTCATTATTCATTCACCCTGTTTTCTGATGGGCCTGGGGTGATGGAGGCCAACTGCTTACCAATCTGTCCCACAGCGGGAGCTTCCTGTGGCGCTCGGGACACTCGCCTGTGAGCTGTATGGCAGGTTACTGCAGGTCCACACCTTGGTAAAATGTCATCATTGGCTATAGCAAGGCATTTCACAAAGCTGAACGATTGCTTTGGCACGAGGGCACAGTCCACCCGGAGCACTGGTGCCTCAACCATGTAGTACTCGTGAAGGGCGGTAAATATTCGCGTGGCAGGATGTTAAGCGGCCAGCATGCTTCAAATTACGTGTTTATCGTATCCGGCAGCTGTGTGGAGGTGAGACACTTTCTAGGGTTTAAACTTAGAAGCGTATCGCTCCGCCTACGGCTGTGGCCGTTCATAATGGGCATAAACACTTTGCATTTCAATATACAACTTAGTATATTTCAATAAGACAGAGCCCTTTAGCTTTCACTTTGTCTGATTAAATAACATTTAAACGCTTGTATGAAAGAGCCAAGAAACAAAAGGTAAAATTCCAACATCTTTATATCAACTCCAGCAAAAATACAAAGTTCTTAACATAAAGATGCATCATTCTTGGGATTACCACAAATAAAGCAGTTATTTCTTTCTAATATACAAACCCAAAATCTTTAAATAGCAACTGCAAAGAATAAACATGTTCAAGTCTGATTTGTTGGGCTGCTTTAGATTTGCTAAATCCATTCGCCTACATGGAGTTCTTAAATAACAATAAAAACATGGCAGACATGTTTTGCATTTACAGATGATTTACCCTCTAAGAGAAATGAACATAATAAAAAAATAACACTGTGCTAAAAATGACAATTGACAACACACTAATGAAATTTACTACTGGAAGTTAAGGAACTTCACAATATGAGAACATCTGCCGGACAATAATAAAACAAATAATAACATAAAACTTCAACACACTTGAATTCACAACTCAGAAGTGTGACTAGACTACCCCAAAAATATCATATCCAACTCATGTATAATTAGGGAAGGCATTCATCACCCTGTAATCTGCCATTAATGCTCAAGCGGCCATAAACATTGTTCATATTAACCAACCAAATATACATACTGTTCAGGCCTTTTTATGAAATCATGTTGCGCAGTGATACACAAACCGGTATCTCGGTCATCTCAGATAGTTTGTCACTACAGCATTTTAATGGGCACTAAATGTGCATACACGTTATTAAATGAGGTTAGTAATTTTAAAGCTCAGGGGCATAAATATAGTTTTGTGTTTCAGTTGTAGAAAGGCAACCGCTCTAATGCAAGAGTTGCTAAAATTGTCTCCACATCAGCAAGACCGTAACACATGCAAGATGCAGGTAAAATACTCAAAGTGACGTCACTATTACGAGCAGATAACAATGGGTGCAATGGTCAGAAGTGACTGCAGAGGTACACAGTGATGAAAACGACCCAAAACAACATGGAAAAAATAAAAAAATACAAACATTCGTCATGACACATCCAGATCACACCGGTCTGTTTTTAGCAAGTCAGACTCGCATTTGCTTTAACATCTAGAACAACTACAGTGAGAACAATATTAAGTTAATGCTCTGGCAAAATGAGGATATAAAAATAAACCTGGCAGGTCAGACCAAATCAGAAAGTTTGAATGCCTCAATCGAGATAAGAATTTACAGATGACACTCGAGGAACATGTTGTGGGGAACGGAACACTGTACACACACACACTCAGTGAAGCAGGTGAATGGTGACGACCGCTCCGGGATTAGAAAGCTGTTGTAACTGAAGGACGGGAGTTTTCACACTTAGCAACACATTCTATTACTTTACACTTCATAAATAAGGCACCGGGTCACAATAGCCACATATTCACACTTGTGATTGGAAGACAGGCTGGAGATACACGTTACCTACTTCTGGAAGTAAAGATGGTATTGAAAAGCTGATCTGCCTTCTTCACAGCAAGCTCTCTGAACACTGCTGTGCATGCGATCATCAAAAACTAAAATTATATACAACAAAAAAAAAAAAAAAAAAAAAAGATTTGAAACCGAATGGTGAGTGAATGTTGTTATTCCAACTTCTAAAATGAGGTTTGATGGGCCATTATCTCCAGCCGTGTCGCAGAGTGCTGAAATAGAAACTACACCTGCTAGACATCACACAGGAACTCGTCTGTAGTCCCCGAACACTCGGCAAATAATCCATCACATTTCTATTTTCACACTGAAGCTTTACAAAAGCAGACGTCTCTTCCTGCTTCACATATTTGCCTACTGAAAAAGGTGCCATCTGAAGAGTAGAAAATAGAAACTTCTGGTCCTTCTGAGTATATTCCAGATAAAGGAAGACAAAATCCTCTTACTAAAGATGATCTCTCTCTCCCTCTCTCTCTCTCTGCGTGTGCATTTCATTTGGAGAGCGATGTCCTGGTGCGTTTAGCTGGGGTCTGCAGAAGCGCCCGAGCTCTCTTGGTTGCCGATTTAGCCGCGCTGCGTGGCGTCGCGGCGGCTTGCCTTTTCTTCGCGGGAAGCTTTACGGCCCCTCGTCTCGTCGGCGTGGGCTCCTCACTTTTCCTGACTCGTTTAGGAGATGGACTTTGTGTCTTCGTGGACTTTGTGGCCCTCTTTGAAGCATGTCTGGGGCTTCCACTCAAAGAGCCCGCCACCTCGATTTTCCTCTGGGATCTTGTCAGTACCTGGTCAGGTGAGGTCGGAGACTTGACGTCCGCACTCTGCTGTTGGGTTTCAACGGCGTTCTCTGTACCTTTGACTTTAGGGACAGCACTTGGGGAGGATTCCTTTGTTTGGATTTTTGCAGCACTCACTTTGTTCAAGGCGGGTTTTTCCACCTCTATTTTCTCTGCTTCGATTTGCTTCTTATTGTCAACCTTGCTTTTAGGTGTGTCAACGGGGTTGTGTTCAGATGTTTTAGGAGACCCTAGTCGTTGAGAACATCTCTTTGGCAATTCATCGTTTTTAGTTGCATCTCTTGAAGCTCTACTGCTGCTCGGAGCCTTGACTGTCCTCTGTTGAACAGGAGGCTTTGTAGTTTTTTTGCCAGCCAATGTTTTCCTTCTTCCCATTTTTGCGGCAGATGCTTTCATTTGTTTGCCAGCCGGTAGGGGGGATTTCTTTGCCTTGAGAGATGGTTTCAGACTTGACTTGGCGGCAGAATTTTTGGCGGCCAGTCTTTTCATATTGTTGGTTTTTAAAGTTTTTGAGGCCTCCTTGAGTCTAACATTGGTTTGCTGAACCTGCATCTTCTCTCGGATGTTTGAGTATTTCCTCAAGATCCTTGCACTGGCTGGATTCTTTGATTTACCAGAGGATTTCTGTGATTCAGCGGTTTGTCCACAGGCTTTGGCAGACTTAGTCAAAGTCCGAGTAGTACTGGGGAGCTCTCCTCTCTCTCTTCCTTTGACTGCGTTGGCTTCTTGCTCCAGTGCTTTAGCAATCAGTTTCTGACTCTTAGGGTTGCTCTTCACAGGAGAGGCAATGGCAAACTTTTTCAAATGTTTCTTCAAGCGCTCTGCCTGTAGGCTTGGAAATACCCCCTGAGAGGTCCCTGAAGCACTCGATGAGCTGTGGAAGCACAGCTGAGTTTCTGACGGAAGACGTGTATTCACCTTCTTGACGATGACAAGGGACTTTGTTTCTGTTGTTTCAAGGAACCAGCGACAAATACTGCTGAGATTAAAACCTTTCATGAAGAGCATTTGGACCGGTGAGTATTTCTGGTGGTCTGAAGACTTTGATTTCCGGGCCCTGCGTTTACTTTTCCATATAGCCGCCTGTCTGTCGGCTTTGTTTTTGTATTTTGTTGCTGGCTGACCCTCTTTGTCCGTATGCACCCAGCCTTTTTGCATTTTATCATACTTAACGTTCAGATTTGTAATTAGGTGTTGGTTCTCTTCTCCAGTCAGAGCCTCAAAGAATTTGTTTGTTTGTTTTGGGGGCTCGGGTCGTGGTGCAATGACAGGGATGGCTGAGCTATGGGGCAACACAGCTGCAACAGACACCGGAAGAGGCTTCACCTGAGCTTTGATTATTCTGATCGGGGAAGGTACGTCACTCGGTCTCTCATCTGCAGTAAGAGCACTGGTAGAGGCTACAGCCAGTCTTTGTGATCTCAAAGCCAATTTCTTGTTGTTCACTGGTGACGACTGAGTGACAGGCTGGGGGGACACTTCAACCTTACTGCTCTCACTTCTTAATGGCATTCTTTTGGGTTTTTCTGACACGGAAGAACTGCTTTCATCTCCACTTGCAGACCGGCCTTCTAAAGATGCTACATTTGGCTTCTGCAACAAAGCAACATCACTTGCTTCTGCCTCCTTTCGGAGAACCCGCTTACTTCTTAATGGCATAATCTCTGTTTGCATTTCAGTCTTTACAGGACTTTGATTTTCCAAAGGACTTGATAACTCACTGTTAAGTTGCTCATTGTTACTGTCATCTACTACCATCTGTGTAGACTGGAGCTTCGATCTATTTTCTACTTTGCTTTCTTGCGTTTCTTCAAAGGTCGTCTCTACTGGCTGATTCTTTTCAATGTTTAATTCTGCAGTTGTCTCTGGGACTGCTTCCTGTTGGGACTTTTCAGAGGCTGCAGGGGAAGATGACCTGATTGGAGGAGAAGCAACAGGAAGTGAAGAAGGAAAGGGGAGGTGCTCTGTAGATGGAGGAGCCTGGGTAGCAGTAGGTTTCGGAGGTAAAATGGAAGGGACAGCATTTGATTTGGGAGGTGATAAAGGAGTTCCAGATCTAAGTTGCCGCTGATCGGAGAGGACAAGCAGACTCTCCTGATCTCTCTGAACTTTCTTTTGTTTCCGAATTTGTTTGGTCTTTGAGGGAAATTTAGATTTTGGGCTAGATGGTATGGCAGAGGATGGTTCTTTCACCTGCTGAATCTCAGGAGTAGTCTCAGTCGATTTTACAGCTCTGTCTGCTTCAGGTACAGCTGGATCAACAGAAGTCTTGGGGACATTCCGACTAGATTTCACTGGGGTTTTCTTAGGCGACGTGGTGCTGTTATTTGATCTACGACGCAGACTTCTGTCGGATGCCGATATGGGTCGACCATTGACAAACCCCACTACCACTGCTTCCGTTTTTCTTAACCGCTTTGGCAGCGAAACTACAGCTCCTCTTTTTCTACGCCAGGGGGGTAATTCCTTCAAGAGTGAGTCGAGTGTCTTTGAGGACACGTCATCGTCATTCTCACCTTCATGCTCTAAAGGTACAACACCGTCAACTGCTTCGGATGTTTTCATTTCCGTCTCTTTCACCATTGGCTCCTCTGCCGAACCTGTGGTGTTGCACTCAACTGCGACTTCAAAGTTGTTGAAGTGCATCTTTGACTTTGGTGGAAGTTCCTGCAGTTGCTCTACTTGTACTTCCTCCCTATTGTTTTCCTCTATTTCTTCCTCAACTTGAGCCACCAGTGATGGGGCTCTATTTTGATGGAGAACAGGCTCACTGTTGTGCACTTCTTCTAGTGAAAGCTCGGGCTCATCTTCTTCTATGGAATCTTCCTCTAATGGTTCCACTACGGTTTCTGGGACTATTTGGTCGTTACTTTCACCGATGTCCTCTTGAAGCTCGGGCTTGTTCTCCTTTTCTGCTTCAAATGGAGCCCGAGCCACACTTTCTTCACTTTCTGCTGTTGTCCCCGAATCTCCACTTGTATTCTGTTCTACATCTGGGCTCTCATCTGTTTCTTGGTTTTCTCTTGGAGGCCTTACCGGAGACGAAGGAGCAGACTGGCCCTTGCTCTGACACTGACCGGTCTGACTAGTTTCAACTAGAATGTCTACTTCACTGGCTGCTACCTCCACCATATCTCCTGTTCCTGGTATCACACTCTCATCAGACTCTTCTGTGGACATTTGTTGATTCATTGCCTCCCGGCACGCTCCAGCAAAAGGCATATCCACAGGTGGTACACCCTCGGGCTTTGAAAGCACTTGCTTTGGGGTGACCAATGTGATAAGCTCTGGCATTGGATTCGGACAGTTGCCCCTCCCAGCCAATGTACGGACAGTTTTTAACTCCCAGATTTCATCTGAATACATATGTCCTCTGGTGCTTTTCCTGGCATTGCGGCGTGGACGCATGCCGCGCCGCTGTTCCTTAAAACACTCTGTAATTGGTTTGTTAATAAAAACAATATCACAGTGGCCAAGATCAGGGTCAGCTATTCCCCTACAAGCCGAGTCCCTGCTCCGATGATCAGACGATGACTTGATGGTCTTCCTTGCAGTCCGCGGAGAGTCTGAAGGAATGGTCATGTGGACTGAAAACAGGTTTGCTGGTTTATCTTTGGCATGCCCTAGAGCCTCTCTCTGCCTTGCTTGATGTGTGTGACTAGTCTGATTGTGTCTTTTCACAGCAGAGCTGAGTCTGGCACCATGAGTCTCTGTTCTGTGTGATGAATTTGAGTTACCCTGTCTGTCCTCCAAAGTGTCAGAGTGAGATGAAAGCGAGGTGTTGAGCACACATGACAACTTCTTACCAACGTTGCTGGTCATGATTTTCATCTTCAGAGGGGCATGATCACCATTACGGTTGTTCTCTGCCTCCATTGGATTAGCAGTGGGAGTGACCAAAGCTTGGTTACTCCCGGACCCAGGGCTGCGAAGATCCAACGCAGGGCCTGCAGATGTTTTCAGCGAAACAGCATTCTCTGGAACTTTTTTCATCGCACAGCTGCTTGGGACAGAATGGGACATATCCTGGACCTCTGACTTGGGAGTTGATGCCCTGGGAAACCTTAGCTCAGGGCATGACTTCTCAGGGGTGACTGCACTGGATTTTGCAGTAGAACAAGCAGTTACCTGGATTCCAGAGGTAGATTTAGAGGCTTGCTGCGTATTGGAAGATGCCAGTGCTTTGACCTCCGTCTGTAGAAAGCCTATGGCATCTACTATCTGTCTTTGATGGTGGGGACAGAGTTTGGCCATGAACTGTTCCAGCGTGGAGGTGGACTGCAGGTCTTTTGCCTTTGCAATAGGCAAGTCGTGAGGCTCACTGAGGGGACAAAGAACAAAATAGATGTAATTGCACATCAAGAAGACGCAGCATTGGTTTATACCATTGATTGGTACGTGGTTATTACACTTATGAAGACAAATGTCCATTCATCTCTACAACTAAGAGCTAAATGTGTTTGTGAAATAATTCACAAACGTTAAACACTGTTTATCATTGCATATTTATTAGAAGAATAGGTGATTTTAAAAGTGAAGCTTTCAATCCAGTGAACTTGACCAATAATAACATTGTTACAGCTATAACATTTTTCTTTTTTTGCACAGTGGTGCCTTTTGTTACAGTATACATCGAGAAAATCTTACACATGCACAAGACATTTAGTAATGGTTGCCCATTCCGATAAAAACAAGTCAAACACGTGTTTATCACTTGAAAGAGCAAATACATTAGGGGGAAATATAGAGTACATCATTTTTGTCAGGTTTACATGTATTTTATAAATAGTGCAACGGGTGACATTTAGATACAAGTGCTCAACAATTTAAGACAAATTAACTGTTAAAAGTAAAATCAATTGCAACATGCAAAGTTAGTTATTGTAATACGTGTGAGGTTTTGTTAGCGGTGGGGGTGTGTTTCTGTATTTCTGGCTTAAGTTTTTTTTTGAGTGAGGTAGGTCCATTACAAAACCCTCCAAGAGCCTTGGAACATTTATACCATCACATTACGCCAAAAATATATCAATCTTACTCTGAAAAGGTTATTTTCTTTGTAAAAAAAAAAAAAATTAAGAGTCATTGTGGTCTTTTAGCAAGAAAATGAACACACAAATGAAACCACATCTGGATCCCTGAGGTGACATGTCACAAGGCTATGCTGGGTAGTGATGAATTGAAATAGCTTTTCCCACAGCGTGTGCTGCTGAGCTAGATGTGCTGGCAACTGCATGACATGTAGTCAGAAAATGTTCTGTTGAGCACCATCTAAAAACAGATACTTACAAACGTACATTGTATCTGTACACAACTATAAATGTTGCGTTGCCAAATACCATGCTACTGATATTTCCATTGTGACAAAGTAAAGCTGAAATCTCAAACGATGGTGGAATATATAGAGCTAAGCTTGCTATGTACTAAGCTCGCCTCTACTCATTGCTAGTTTCCAGCTATTTAGCGGAGTGGCAAAGTTAAATCTGGATTTACATTATTACTTTGTTGAATTGTCAAACAGACAGGCAAATGTGCCTGTTTTGATATTAGTATACTCCACTAAATGCATGGGCTAATAAACAGAATAGTTATTAAAAAACATTACAGATGTCAGCTTTAAATAGCGATGTGAACAATACAACCTTTGAAGTAGGAGACGCGAGTCTGTTTTTGTTATAATCTCCAGAAATGCAGTTTTAGGTTTTACATTAAGTTGTTTTTCAATCAAATATGTGCTGCTTGAGGCACTGACCTGGAAAGAAACTTGTTAATTAAATACCCATTGGTCAACATCTTACCTGCACTGAGGTTATATTGACATTCAGTGCCTAACAAAGTATTGAAAACAAAAACAGTGAAAAGCTGCACTACCTTTTTTGGGCTGCAAACACAAAAATATTTCTACAGCGTGCCAACATATCTGAAATATAACTTTTTGAGATTAGAAAATATATTTTTAGGGATTAAAAAATAACATTTGCTGGAAATGGAACCTGACCGATGTTTTTGCTTAGCTCATTAACTTCACAGCCCTCTTTGAAAGGTCTAAGGAGTAAAGTGGTGTACCTGAATAATGAGTGGTAAGTGTTTCATCCCTGAGGGTCTCGCTCTTTGTTTCACTTAGCATTACGGTAAAGAAGTGACACTACGTACATGCCTTTCTCGTCCAGAGGAATAAAACAACCAGAAATAACCACTCTAACAAGCAGATGCAAAGCAAACGCATTTCAACAATATTTCACAAGCACACAAACAAAGTTGTGTTAACTCGTCCACGATGTTCATATACTGCACATCATAGATAATCTGTCAATTACGAACTACTATATTTCATCATAGATCTTCAGTGAACCATTAACCAGATTGAGAACTGGTTTAGGGATATTTCACGTTCACAGTACACTCTACTTTATACATTGCTGACTTGACGGTAAATACACCAACACCCCGGTACTTTCAATTAAATTGCCTCAAAGATAGACTTTACCACATACAACTAACTTCTCACTGACACATATGATTTTGTCCAATCATGCACGACATACCTAGTTTTATTCCTGTACACATTGTTCACGTTAAATCAAATATACCTTATCTGTACATATTTTTTTATGGACAGGGATACGCTTTACACTTTAGTCCACATACATTATATTAAACAAGCAAACGATACCTAACTTGCGTCAGAATACAGTGGGACAACCTTAACTTTTGTCCCTTCACATCTATAATGAAAGAGTTAAATATATCTGGAATCTAAAATTATATACTTGTGTCTATTAACAATATGTGAATTACTTCTTTGACTAAAGCCATTTACATTCACGGTTACTTCATTGATGATAAAACCATTAATTTTGTAAATATCGATTAATCAAGACTGCATAAACTAAATAATTCCAAACATATCAGTTTAAGTCAGTATGGAAGGGGATGAGACTCTTCCTCCACTTTGAGGAAAAATGGTTTCCACATGGAAGGGCATCATAAAAAAATGCTTTTTGATCAGAACTGTCTGAACATCCCCATCCCAAAAAGAAAAAAGAAAATATGAAATAGATGAGGGTGCGATTCATTTCACAGATACACTGAAAGGTTTACAAACGGTTGCACTGTGACAGATTTATGAGCTCTTCCTGTAAACGATTTGGCTTTAAGTATTTTCACAATGGACCGTGTTGTGTACATGACAAATTGCTACATTAACCCGCCATGAGAACAGTAGACTGCGATATGGATTCTCCAGATGAGGTAGTCAACCATTCGATTTGCTACAATAGACCGGGAGGAGCGCAAACACCTGTTCTACCTGTCAGCACAACCAAAGCGCTTGTAATAGATGAATTAACATGCAATCAACACTCTGAATGAGAATAAAGAAAGTAATGCTGAATGATTGTCAAAGAAGAATAATATGATCAATGAAAGTGAAGTTTTTACTTAATCCTAATAATCGTACACATGTACTTGAAGCAACTGCTTTGTTTTAAAATTGCATCTGAGCCAACGTTATTCAGACATTTTGAATGTATGAAAACTATATGCAATTCAGAGTCCTTCATTAGTTACAAATAATGAAGATCTTATCCTTAAATTGACAAGAAATGGAAACATTAACAAAAAAAAAAAAAGTATTCCTGAAATTATAAAACAAACAAAATGCAGAATAAGAGAAGCCAAACAAGTAAGTAAGTTTATCATCTAACATAAAGTTAAACTATTGTTACAGTGCTATTAACATACAAGTAATAAGTAATATGTGCGCAAGTCCCTGAAGTATGTTACTACCAACTCTCATGCAAAAATGTTTACAATCTAGGCAATTTTATGTATTATATGCCTGCAAATATAATATCTGAACTAATGCTTGTAGTGAAGGAATCATTTCTTTTATCAAAACATCCACGTTCATCGAAGCAACATTGTGTACATCGAAAATCCTGCAGGATTTGCAAAAAATAATAACCAAGATCTGCTCGAGTTGTGCATCAACCGGATGAAAGAATTATGGGCCGTGATCCCATATTCTGGAATGTCCTGAGGTATAAATGATAATGCACAATGAGGCGTCCTGACAGAGCAAAACGACGCCCCCCGGACCAAGGCAGAGTAAAAAACATGGAGTTCTCTCTGCGGAGTCCACTTGGCAAAAATTCAATGACAATGGTAAGTATTGGCAACAGGGGACAGGCCGTATGTAAACGTGTTTCACCCATCTATGTGGACTCAGCCTGACGATGGTATTTATTTTTATTTTTTTTAATATATATCTATATATCTATCTATAGATAGATAGATATATAGAGAGATATAGAGAGATATAGATAGAGAGAGATAGAGATATAGAGAGAGATAGATAGAGATATAGATAGAGATATAGATATATATATAGATATATATAGATATTCAATAATTCAAGCCAAGTATGAACACGACAGCCAGGAGATGCATTATTACTTCTCTTCCACACAGGGACAAAACATTTAGTTTCATTGAATCTTTGCCAAAGTAACTCAAGAAAAAGGTTGGTGTGATTGAGGCGTGAATATAAGAGTAGCTAACAACAAGACTAGCTAGCCAATGTTAACGAGCTAGCACAGTCAGCCAGTATGTTACGCTCCATCTGCTAATATTGCTTGATAAATGACTTTGTGAACTAAGAGCTTCTAAAAAGGACAATGCTTCTAGATATTATTTATACTAGCATGATGATAGAACTGATCTTATTATCTCGTATACCTGGAGCAAACACTTTAAAATATACCTGAATGTAATTTAGAGAGTTAAAAGTTATCTGATACCAAGAGTTATGCGAGTGCACTATTAATAATTAGGTCACAACAGCGGAGTATCGACCTCACAAATAAGGGGAGTGTTATCAATGAACCTGAAGAGACAATTCTTTATCACGTGCCATGGGCAAGCTAGATGTCTAAGTATGTGTACAGTATATGTAGAATACGTTCATACATCGTAAATAGAAAAAGAAAAGTTCGGCCCTTCTTGTGTCTGAGAGAAAGACGTTCCCAGAGATAATACCTGAAATCTGAAGGCGTACACTGGCACTGAAATGCTACCGATAACTAGTTAAGGTATGTTGTAAAGTCCTCTGAGAGTAGGACGCACATACTCGTCAGTAAGACATCCTGAAATGTGACCTCAAGAGGGAGATCTGAGCATCCTTCCCCATCTGAGGCAATGATTCTGTAGCTGAGGTATATACGTATATATGTATATATGTGTAAGCGTGTACAGTGATCCACTATCTGATAAGAGACATGTTCTTTGAATGACAAGTAGTACTGCATTCCAATCTGAATTTATCCTGAGTGCAGTGAAGGCAATGTAAAAAAAAAAAAAAAAAATAACATACCATTCATATAGGAGGGCAAAACATACAGAAAAACCTATAGGTGGCACAAACGTATCATGCTTGATTTGGAATCAAAAGGAACACACAATGTTATTCCAACAGACTAGAACAATAAATTAATATTTTGAATATAGTGTTTAGAATGAATACATACTCTGAATATAAGTGTTTGGAACAAACAGTTTTTTTTCTTACATCTCCAGTGCCTGTTTCAGTCCCAGATGTGCATTTGCAAAACAGTGACAGAGACTTTTACTGCCATCCATAAGGGCCTGAATACAAAGTAGGCCCAACTCTCTCTCTCTCATATATATATATATATATATATA